AATCCTTACTGAATTTGCAACAAGATCATAGAAAATGATCCCAGAAACACTGTCAATTGAAACGTAAACAAACTCTTAATTAAGTGACGTCTTTTGTTTACAAAAAGTTACTTTTTTATTTTTATCCAACTGATTTGGTAAATACTAAAACAACAACTGCCCCCCTCAGGGTAGATTCATAGCGGTACTATGAAGTGGAGTATTTTTAAACACTCGAAGAGAAATTTCGTATCTCCGCGCTTCCATGTAATATCCTCTATTTCATTCAAATACATGCATATATGCTTATAAACATGATACACGATACATATTTGAAAAAGTGGACCGCCAGGTTATCCCTATAAAAGGTCCCCTAACTGAACTTTAGTAAAAATATTAAAAAATTATAAAAAAACGCGCGTAAAAATCATTAAACTAAGTGCAGGTACAAAATGGTATAGTAAGAATGATATTTAAAATGAAACTGTACAATTAAAATATGAGCTGCTTTGTCAATAAATCTTCATCCATCTTTTTAAGCCTTTTTTAAATTTGTTAACGTTAATTTCGTCCGTGAAGAGATGGTTTGGCAAACTGTTCCAGTCTTTGACAATTCTCATGAAGAAGGAGTACTTAAAGGAGTTAACTTTTAGTTAGCTAATTTAGTTTGTATTTTGTATGGATGGTTGGCCCTAGAGTTTTTACTTGTACAAAACTCGAAATAGTCATGACTGATTTTGCTCCATTTCCCTATTTCCTAGTATTTGGAGCAGTTTTCACATGCGCAGTAATTTTCAAGGAGTTATAATAACTCCCCTACTGGGGCTAATTTAACTCCTTACAGTGGAGTTATTTTTTGTGGAGTTATTTTAACGCCAAAAAGGAGTTTAAAGAACTCTTTTTCAGGAGTAAAATTGACCCCGGATATTTAGGAGTTAAAATAACCCAAAAAAAGGAGTTATCCTGTACCTAAAATTTTTACTCCACTTTCAGAGATAAATTAACTCCAAAAAGAGTAAAAACAACTCATGTAAGGAGTAAAAGTAACCCCATTTCAGAGTTATTTTAACTCCAGACTGGGAGTAAAAAGAACTCTTTTTCAGGAGTAAAAATGACCCCAAATTCGGAGTTAAAGTAGGAGTTAATTAAAAATAACCCCCAAAAAGGGTTATCCTGTACCTAAAATTTTTACTTCATTTTTGGAGTTATAGTAACTCCCTAAAAATTACGGTGTGGGTCTTTTATTTAAGAGTGGCGTCTAATACAAGCTTAAAAGGGTATGAGGGGCGTTTATAGCTCAAGAGGCTTTTATTTGAGAGTGGGCGTCTATAAGATCATTTACCGTATTGATTGCTTTATGTTTTTAGCCTTGGTGTAGCTTGTACAAGAAGAAGGCAGCTTATGTTCAACTGGAGACTGACAATCACTCCTTTCCGAAATATAGGTAAACTTTGCAATCATGATTAACAGTTCTGTTAAATTCTGTCGAAGTCCTTGAATTCTTAACCCTATCCTGGTTTACCTCACTCGCTTATTGACGCGCGCCTAACGTGACAACTGGCCGAAGATTTGATAACTTGCTTATACAGGGGATATGTGCAAAATGATACTGTGTGTGCTTGCCAAGTGAGTATGAGCGGAAATGTTATCGAACGGTTTCTTGGTTTTTTGATTGGTTACAAAACTCGCGCCATGCTCTTAACCAATCGGAGGTCCGACTAAAACTAGTCGTAACTGGCTTGCTTACCTTCCCCCGAGCCTGGTTGCCGGTATTGATCGGTTCCCAAGTTAGTAAAAGTTTGCAAGAGTAGCTAATCTTTTTCTTTTTTGGTTTTACATCACTCACTGTAAAACTGTTATATTATGTGTATATTTCTTGAATATAAGTGAAAAAATTACCAATTTTTTAATCAAAAAAGGAAACATTTAGTTTCCTCTTCCTTTTCTTATTTGTTCCTGCTAGCTGATAGGCAGGTTTAGGAAAGACGACATGGCGAGCGAGACAACGGCGCGCGCAGATCTAAATATCGAGTTGGCCGATAGCCGAACGGTAAATTGACAGGGACAGTAGAGTGGAAATGGGAAGAGAGGCTTTAGCTCCCGCCCCCTAAATAGTAATGATGTATAACCTGGACCAACACGCTTTCACTATTAAAGAAAACAAATTCTCGTTTTATCTTTCAAGTCAGACCGCTGAGCTTCTATCGGACAGCCATGCACCTTCTCTTAGGAACTCAGATCGCTTTCACCATTTGCATGTTGCAACGCTTGGCGAAAGAGTAACGTCTTTCATATCATTTCCTCTTCAGAATAATCGGCACGCTTCATAACTACGAAAAATTCTCCGAAGCATTTAACTGTAAACCAGGATCTCCCATGAACCCGGTGAAGAAATGTTCCTTGTGGTAATTTCAGGCGATCTTCAGAGCAGCACATGCGCACTTACCGGTGGGAGTTTTCTTTACTGTTTTCTCTGCCCTCACGCAAGTTTTCTGAGTTGATAAGAAGAAGAATTAGCTGCAAGGATTGTGGTTTGCATTGTAACTGATTGACTGATTTAATTTTTTGCCAAGCCACTAAGTGTTATGAATAGCCCCTATCATTGCGGCGGATTTCCTGTGTCTTATATTTCACTGAGTACTTTATATCAGAGAGGATAATGGGTTCCTAACTTGTTTGTATGTTTTACTTATTGTTATAATTAGTCAGGTTATTTTAAGACAGATAAAGACTCGTGAAAAAACTGGTGTTGTACAGTGTATGTTTAGACTTTGAAAAGCAACCAAAAAAGCTAGCACTTATTCTTTTCTGTTTTCATACATAGTATACTATTAAATGGATTATACATTGCCTAATCAAATGCATCTCCTTTCTTTTGTTTTTTTTTAAGACGTGCTGTCGAGTCTCTTAATAGGTTATAAAAGGTATGCATCGCTTTGCAGAAAAGAAAACATTTCAGCAGAGAATTTGAATTAAAAGAAATATTTCGAAGTCCCCTTTGGTACTTTATTTTGCTAGATAGAGCATATAAGTAGAGGAGACTGGTTATGAAAGACAGCAAACATCAAAGATAAAAATAACGATTCTGCAGGTTATGTTCATGGGAGCTCTCTGACGTTGCGCAATCCATTTGTCTTGTTCACTGGTTGTTTATTGGTCGGTAAGATGAAAAATCATGAGAATGCTATTGGATTTTGGGCACCGTCAAGTCCACACAAACGTAACAAAAGAGGCTGACAGATCATAACCATTCAACTCTATCAACTATAGATAGGGTCAAAACTTTATTGTTATATTGATTTACTTTAGTCCTGGTTCGCAGTTTCAGATTTTTAATTAAAATTGCTATCCTCATTATAAACGTAGTAACTTATTTTTTCACAGAGAATAGAGTTCACAAAAGACACTTGAACATCTGCTTCGCAGGTCTTAAAATAACAGTCAAAATTTTACTAGAGCAAAACATCTGCTTCTTTCTCTGCCCTCCCAGGTCTGCAAAGCTTTGGCGATGTGTCGATGTCAAGTAGCCAACTAAAACCTTTTTTTTTTGCCTTTCAATATTGTCAATACTGGTATCTCATTATAGCAGCGCTGTTTTTTGCCTCCGAGACAGAAATACAGTCCACATTAGCCTTGGTATATTCATTTTCGGAAACTCTTTCACCGTTTTCGTTTTCTGGAGTCGGATGAGTTTTCTCAAACGAGCTTACTATCTGTTACCTAACCTCGCTGTGACTGATCTACTTGTCGGTCTAACTGAACTGATGAATACAGCTTTGACGACCATCCGCATGGCAGGATTGTCGTAACTATAAATATCTGGGCAAGTCTTTCTGTCCTTTTCTCAAGCGTTTCGTCACTCAGTCTCCTTTATTTCCCTAGAACGTGCTTTTGCTGTTCGCTGGCGTTTTCGTCACAGAGTAGCAAAAAGTGAGGCATGTATAGGCCATGATAGCGTTCCTAAAGTATAACTGAGTTAATATGCAATTCGAAATAAATGATAAAGAAGTAATAATTTGAAGATAATCCCCACAGAACTAGATATACAGTTAACCTTTATAACTATGTACGTACTTATTTTTTTTTTTGGGTGTGGCAGTCAGTTCAGGAGCATAACGTGAAGAAATTTATTTGGATTAATATCTTAATTATTACCTCATACGTTTTGTGTAGACAAGGAGAAGAATATAACCTTTGAAATTTCATCAATAATGTATAGTGTATAAATATAAAAATCTGTTTCCAGAACGTAATTACTTTTTGCTTGTTAATATTGTGGCACAGAAAATAAACAGTGCATGCATTATGTTTCCAACAGTACATGTACATCTCTCAATATAGTTGGTTTGGCTCAGCTTGATCTATTTTTTCAATTTCCTTTTAAGTGTTTCTGAATTTACAAATTACTTTTTTCTCAATAGATTATAATAACCACCTTTTGATTCCCGTCAACCTAAAGATTTAAGTATATTTTTTCAGCCTTCGAATTCCTCCAAAGTATAATCGTCTTTTTTTCGTGTTTTTTTTGTCACGGTTGTAATGGTAACGAGAACCAGCCTGCAGGAAAGAATATGAAGAAAATTTTCATGTGTCTTTTATTACGCTTCCAAAGGAGACAAATCGTCTCCCGGATGCGACAAAGAAACTTATTAAGTTTTCGAATTGACTGACTGCCTGTTAGGAGGTCCCAATAAATTTTGCGATTTAAGTCAAGCTGTTAATCAATCATGTTCACTTATTTTGGCAGTTGTCTTGCTATTCATGTTCCTGGAAAACTCATTCATTATCAATTGATGATTTGCTTTTTTTCTAAACAGGGTTTTTCAGCAAGGATTTATTGACTGAGTTTGTTTTAACACAGGATGTGAACAATGCAAACAGTAATTATTGAAAAAAATCATTAAAACTGGAAGAGGAGTCGACTTAAAGCCTCGATTTATCGTCCGGCGTTATTTTAATTCGGGTGTGGCGAATTTGAAGGACATGCATAAACCCTAAACTGTCTTTCTTTACTTCTGAAGATGTTAAACATAGAAAAACTGCTTTCATGGGTTATTATTGTCGAATCTTCACTCGTCTGCATTGGAAATGTCGTTACCGTGTTGGTGTTTTGGAAGCAGCGAGTTTTTCTAAAGCGGTCGTACTATCTGTTACTCAATCTCGCTTTTGCCGATTCACTCGTAGGAGCAACAGAACTGATACATACAGCAAAAGCTGTTCACGAAAGAGCGTTTTCTGGGAGTCCTTTAGGGATATTGGGTGCATTGTTTTGGAGTGTTTCGCTCCTGTCCCTGGTTGTGATTGCTTTGGAGCGAGCTTACGCCGTTCTTTGGCCTCTTCGTCACAGAGTAGCTAGCGCTCGAATCTACATCGTCAGTATAGTTCTGGTCTGGATAGGGGCCGTGTGCTTGACAATGTTGCCTTTAACATTACATCTCACTGGCAAAGTCGGCAGATTGCCTTCATATTTACTCACAAACACAGTGATTCTGATGTCCCTTTGCCTGATAATAGTGGCATACCTGGCAATAAGGAAACGGTTAAGAAGCACAAATCATACATTCGAAGCCCATAACCGAAAAAGTTTCAAACAGAACGTTAATTTATCTAGGACATTATTCCTTGCTGTCGGTTTGTCCATTGGGCTGTTTTTTCCAGCAACAGCGATTTACACAGTCATCGCCTTTCACCATAAAAAGCCGCTTACTGATAACAACGTCCTAATTTTTGTGGCTACAGCTCTATACCTTGGCAACTCACTTGTTAATCCTATCGTTTACAGCTGTAGAATGCCTATGTTTAAGGCAGCAGTGAAAGGATTTTTGAAACATGAAGTCTGCCATTCGAATTCGAACTAGCTCACTTGTCTTTACTCAGCAATTCATGTGGTCTTAAAATTCCGGTTTATTAGTGTGCTACGCCATATCCTATCTAATTTCGTGAAAATTTGCCACTCTTGAAAAGTGGCGTCACCCTTCTGCTTTGGGGGCTCAAAAAATTTCGGTCATTATACTGCTACACGAGAAATTTCTGCAGTTTGATTGGCTTAGAGCAATGGTATTTTAGCTTAATTTGAAGTAACTACATATGAAAATTACAAGCCTTTTGTGGGTAGTTGTATAAACAAATAATAGCCTGATTTGTACGTGATATTGGCATAAATACCACTTGTGATATTTCAAAATTGTCTCAAATTTCACTCGTCTAACGGCTCGTGAACTTACGTATAACAATTTTGAATTATCACTCGTGGTATGTATCCCAAATATCATTACAAATCATGCTATTACCTATACAAATACAAAGAAAAAATCTAACAATTTCGAACGAAACTGGGCCAGGCTTTTGGAGCTTTTTTTGTGTTGGTGTTTTGTATATCTCAGTTCCTGTTAATTTCGACGCTTCTTTGTTGATGAAAGACTACAAAAGAATGGAAGAAAAACTCCCAGAGATATTTGACCGCGCTGCCAGTGTCAGAAAGTGAGCTCAGCGGGTTTCCGGCGAGGGAAATTTTCTTCAGTTAATCCGTTAAGCATTGCCTGGATCTGGTTAGTGACGCGTCATCATTATGAAATTTCTGCGCTCGGTCGTCAGCGGAAGTCATTTCGCAAGGAAACTAGTGATGGGATCACGAAAGGTCGGCTGTTTTCTCAGGCTGACGTTCACCATTTCCAGGGTATTCACGGTGTTTATTCTTTGTCGCCATCTTGAACTTTTGCGAGCGAGAAGAAGGAATGGAACTTGGGTCAAATAGAACGCGTTCTTCACCAAATAAACCTTTCAGTCGACGCTTCCGAAATTTTTTGGTTATTGGAATAAGCCCTTAGAGAAATCTTCATTTTAAGTTAACTATTCTGACACAAGCCAAGGTAAACACATTAAAAACTGTAAAAAGTTGATTGTACTACTTTGCAAGAAATAAACTAGCCTGCGTCGCAGACATAATTCAACCTCGGGAAGCCTGACTAACGTCTGCGAAGCAGTAATAGATTCTCACTGGGAGCCCCCACTCGCAAACGCCCAAGAGATGAGTTATGGGTAGAGGCGAGCCCGGAGACGGGAAGGAGCGGGAGCTAAGGCGCCAGAGTGTGCCATAGCTGCGGGGAGGTGGGTAGGGGGACATTTAGGTGTCTAGTGTCCTGCAATAAACAGCATGAAAACAGGTCAATTTATACTAACTCACAAATATATGCACAACGAGTTCCCCGCGGATCCACAGATCCGCCAGAATTTAAATGCATGGGTCCCAAGGGCACAGGGACCACTTGCCCAACGGACTCAAAGAATTACCGGAAGTGCGTTTCGAATTTCCTTTAATCTTGATTGGCTAATGGACAATAACATTTTTAATAGGGTAATCATGGCGCGTACTCAAACCCCTGGTACACAGGTGGTGATCCAGAACAAGGATTTCGGCGCTGCCGCTCACGGGTTTTAACCAGAGTGAGGTTTCGGGTTGTAGCCGTTAACAGCTGTTTTGCCATTATTGTGACCAAGCCAAGTTCAATTGCCCGGCGTATCACATCGAAGGTTCGGTTTTTGAACTTTTAAAATAGAACGAAAGGGTTCGGTTGAGTTTGATTGAGTTCGTTCATCGAACGAAGTAGAACTCACAAAAGGAAAAGAGGAATGGAATCGCCAAACCCAGCTTTCCACTTCGAGACTATATTCATTCAGTTTCTTATCTCTTTCCATAATTCACGAAGTAGACAAAAGACATTGAGGAATCACAGGAACTTTGCCTGCTTTTTTTCCTGTAACAATAATGTTTCTCTTTATTTTATTATTATTGTTTTTTCACTCTATTCCTTACCCCTGTCCCTTTTTTTCCTGTGACACCACAGGCAACCCAAGTGTAATATGAGAGTTTGTGGTAAAAATATTAAGACTTAAAATACTGAGTAAATAGAGTCAAACGGGTAAAATTACTGAAAAAAGTGAAAATGACGTTACTTGGTGTTTTTTTTTTCTTGTTCACTGGTTGTTTATTGGTTGGTAGGATAAAGAATCATAAGAATGCTATTGGATTTTGTGCACCGTCAAGTCCACAAAAACGTAACAAAGGAGGGTGACAGATCATAAACATTCAACTCTATCAACTATAGATAGGGTCAAAACTTCATTGTTATATTGATTTACTTTAGTTCTAGTTCGCAATTTCAGATTTTTAATTAAAATTGCTATCCTCATTATAAACGTAGTAACTTATTTTTTCACAGAGAATAGAGTTCACAAGAGACACTTGAACATCTGCTTCGCAGGTCTTAAAATAACAGTAAAAATTTTACTAGAGCAAAGCATTTGCTTCTTTCGCTGCCCTTCCAGGTATGCAAAGCTTTGGCGATGTGTCGATGTCAAGTAGTCAACTAAAACGTTTTTTTTTTGACTTGCAATATTGTCAATACTGGTATCTCATTATTGCAGCGCTGTTTTTTGCCTCCGAGACAGAAATGCAGTCCACATTAGCCTTGGTATATAGTGTTATCATGACAATCGAAACGACGGTTATCATTATCGGAAACTTTTTCGCCGTTTTCGTTTTCTGGGGTCGGATACGTTTTCTCAAACGAGCCTATTTTCTGTTATTTAACCTCGCTGTGACTAATCTACTTGTTGGTCTAACAGAACTGATGAATACAGCATTCCACATGGCAGGATTGTCGTAACTATAAACATCTGGGCAAGTCTTTCTGTCCTTTTCTCAAGCGTTTCGTTACTCAGTCTCCTGATTATTTCCCCAGAACGTGCTTTTGCTATTCGCTGGCCTTTTCGTCACAGAGTAGCAAGCAGTTCAATATAATTTTTATATCATCAGTATTATCACAGTCTGGACAATTGGGCTTGGTTTAATGACCTTGTTTTTGTTGGAAACGTATATCAACAACATAGGGGCTTTGACTTTAACTCTAATCGTAAGCTGGACAAAATTCATTTCGCTTTGCCTCATCTCGGTGACTTACTTAAAGATCAGAAAACGATTAAGAGATACAAATCCTGCAGTTGCACTCGAAGCGCACAATCGGAAAATAGTCGAACAGAACGTCAGGTTGTCAAGAACCATATTCCTTGTAATCGGATTGTTGTTCGGACTTTGGCTTCCTGTATCGGTTATGTATTGTCATCCTCTTTTACAATGTATGGTCGAATGACATTTATATGCCAGTCATAATTCTACACTCAAGCAACTCGCTCGTAAATTCCATTGTGTACATCTTTAAAATGCCTATATTTAGAGCAGTGATAAGGAAGTTCATAAGGAAGTGGGAAGTGGGGAAAACTCTGCTTCCTTGATCAATGCTCTTCTGCTTTCAGCGACTTCATATTTGATTGGACTGAGGCACCTCTTTTAGCTCTGGTGGTGATATTGATAAGCATTGGCTAATATTATAATGAGTCAGGTTATTCTTCGACAGGTTCAGACATAGTAAGAACATGGTGTTGCGCTAAGTATGTTAAGAGTTTTAAGAGAGTTAGACCAAAAAGGCTAGTGGCTTTCTTTCACAGTATGCTATTTAATGGGCAGTAGTATTTTGTTGACCTTTTTACGACGTACTCAGTGCGGTCGTGCCTCATAAAAGGCTATAAAAGGTCTACATCGTATTGCAAAAGAGAAACTTTTGTTATTGGAGAATATAAAAAATAAAGATTTCAAAGACTAGATAGGACATAGTTAGAAGAGAAGACTGGTTTTATGAACGACGGCAAACATCAAAGATTAAAACGACAAAGCTGCAGTTTATGTTGGGAGTTCCCAGTGACGGTGCGCAATTCTTTTCCTTGTTGTTCACAAATTGTGACAGAATAAATTAAGGCAACGTTTTATTGGACAGTGAGATAAAAATAATAGGAATGCTATTGGATTTTGTGCACCTTCAAGTCCACAAAAACTAAAAAATTATAACAAAAGGAGTCTGACGGGCTTCATAACGATTCCACTCTTAACTATGCTGGATAGGGTCACTACTCCATTGTTACTGATTTACTTTACTTCCTGGTTTGCACTTTCAGATTTTTAATTAAAATTGCTATCCTTATTCAAAAAGTAGTAACTTATTATTTCACAGATAATATAGTTTACAAAAGAAACTTAAAAATCTGCTTTGGAGGTCTAAAAATAATAGTGAAAATTGTACTAGAGCAAAACATCTCCTTCTTTTGCCGCTCTCCCGGTTCGGCCAAGCTTTGACGTTGCGTCGGTGACACGCAATCGTCCACTGAAACTAGAGGGCCTCAGTTGTTTGGCTACTAGAGGAAATATAAACTTTGAATGTACGGTTTAGTGTTTAAACATTTGTACCATACCACGAACTAACTTTTCGTTGAAAACGTATTTTCCAAAAGTGACTAAGATGCAATGGGGTCTATAATTGGCCACAGAATAGACCATAATGGGGTAGGGCTAGTGGTTTTGAGGGAGCTGGGCAAGTAGTTAAATCAATGAAAACACACTTTGTTTCATCTTCCACATTTGAGGTTATGGACTCGATAACAGTTATATTTGTCTTGCAGGGATCGGAGCTTTCAACGAAATAAATATACATACATGCATACTTTATTGACTATCCTCATGGAGGCTTTTCAAAGGCAATAATTCAATTAATTTCATACAACAAAAAAGATAATAATTTACTACAATAAAAAAAACCTACTTCAAGGACGCTTATTTATTTACAATGATATTTATCAGAAGTATAATGTATTAATAAATTTAAAAACTTGTACTTAAAAACTCTAATAAAAATATTCACACTAAAATTTAAATGACATGATAACAACTTAAGAATCTATAAAATCCTTGACCAGTTTGCGTTTCAGATTGAACTTATAATTAAAGGCAGATACTGATTCAAAAGTTTTAAAATGGAGTTCCAGATACTGACTATTCTATAATAAAACGTCCTCTGCTCATTAGCTGACTTGAAAAGTGGAATGTTCAGCATCTGCGAACTTCTCGTGGCACGCCCGCTTATTTCTCCTCGCTTAATGAACTGGGAGGAAAGGTACTCCGGCACGCGGGAAGTAAGGCATTTAAAGGCCATGATAGCGTTCCTAAAGTATAACTGAGTTAATATGAAATTCAAAATAAATAATAAAGAAGTAGTAGTTGAAAAATAATCCCCACAGAACTAGATATACAGTAAACCTTTATAACTATGTACGTAATTATTTTTTTGTGTGTGGGGCAGTCAGTTCAGGAGCATAGCGTAAAGAAATTAATTTGGATTAATATCCTAATTATTACCTCATACGATTTGTGTAGACAAGGAGAAGAATATAACCCTTGAAATTTCATCAGTAATGTATAGTATATAAATATAAAAATCTGTTTCCAGAACGTAATTACTTTTTGCTTGTTAATATTGTGGCACAGAAAATAAACAGTGCACGCATTGCGTTTCCAACAGCACATCTTTCGATATAGTTGGTTTGTCTCAGCCTGACCTTTTTTTTCAATTTCCTTTTAAGTGTTTCTGAATTTACAAATTATTTTTTTCTGAATAGATTATAATAACCACCTTTTGATTCCCGACAACCTAAAAATTTGAGTAGATTTTTTCAGCCTTCGAATTCCTCCAAAGTATAATCGTCTTTTTTTTTCGTGCTTTTTTTGTCACGGTTGTAATGGTAACGAGAACCTGAGCCTGCAGGCAAGAATATGAAGAAAATTTTCGTGTGTCTTTTTATTACACTTCCAAAGGAGAGAAATCATCTCCCGGATGCGACAAAGAAACTTAATAAGTTTTCGAATTGACTGACTGCCTGTTAGGAGGTCCCAATAAATTTAAGTCAAGCTGTTAATCAATCATGTTCATTTATTTTGGCAGTTGTTTTGCTATTCATGTTCCTGGAAAACTCATTCATTATCAATTGATGATTTGCTTTTTTTCTAAACAGGGTTTTTCAGCAAGGATGTATTGAGTTTGTTTTAACACAGGATGTCAGTGAACAATGCAAACAGTAATTATTGAAAAAAAAATCATTAAAACTGAAAGAGGAGTCGACTTAAAGCCTCGATTTATCGTCCGGCGTTATTTTAATTCGGGTGTGGCGAATTTGAAGGACACGCATAAACCCTAAACTGTCTTTCTTCACTTTCTGAAGATGTTAAACATAGAAAAACTGCTTTCATGGGTTATTATTGTCGAATCTTCACTCGTCTGCATTGGAAATGTCGTTACCGTGTTGGTGTTTTGGAAGCAGCGAGTTTTTCTAAAGCGGTCGTACTATCTCTTACTCAATCTCGCTTTTGCCGATTCACTCGTGGGAGCAACAGAACTGATACATACAGCAAAAGCTGTTCACGAAAGAGCGTTTTCTGGGAGTCCTTTAGGGATATTGGGTGCGCTGTTTTGGAGTGTTTCGCTCCTGTCCCTGGTTGTGATTGCTTTGGAGCGAGCTTACGCCGTTCTTTGGCCTCTTCGTCACAGAGTAGCTAGCGCTCGAATCTACATCGTCAGTATAGTTCTGGTCTGGATAGGGGCCGTGTGCTTGACAATGACGCCTTTAACATTACATCTCACTGGCAAAGTCGGCAGATTGCCTTCATATTTACTCACAAACACAGTGATTCTCATGTCCCTTTGCCTGATAATAGTGGCATACCTGGCAATAAGGAAACGGTTAAGAAGCACAAATCATACATTCGAAGCCCATAACCGAAAAAGTTTCAAACAGAACGTTAATTTATCTAGGACATTATTCCTTGCTGTCGGTTTGTCCATTGGGCTGTTTTTTCCAGCAACAGCGATTTACACAGTCATCGCCTTTCACCATAAAAAGCCGCTTACTGATAACAACGTCCTAATTTTTGTGGCTACAGCTCTATACCTTGGCAACTCACTTGTTAATCCTATCGTTTACAGCTGTAGAATGCCTATGTTTAAGGCAGCAGTGAAAGGATTTTTGAAACATGAAGTCTGCCATTCGAATTCGAACTAGCTCACTTGTCTTTACTCAGCAATTCATGTGGTCTTAAATTCCGGTTTATTAGTGTGCAAAGACATATCCTATCTAATTTCGTGAAAATTTGCCACTCTTGAAAATTGGCGTCACCCTTCTGCTTTGGGGGCTCAAAAAATTTCGGTCATTATACTGCTACACGAGAAATTTCTGCAGTTTGATTGGCTTAGAGCAATGGTATTTTAGCTTAATTTGAAGTAACAACATATGAAAATTACAAACCTTTTGTGGGTAGTTGTATAAACAAATAATAGCCTGATTTGTACGTGATATTGGCATAAATACCACTTGTGATATTTCAAAATTGTCTCAAATTTCACTCGTCTAATGGCTCGTGAACTTACGTATAACAATTTTGAATTATCACTCGTGGTATGTATGCCAAATATCATTACAAATCATGCTATTACCTATACAAATACAAAGAAAAAATCAAACAATTTCGAACGAAACTGGGCCAGGCTTTTGGAGCTTTTTTTGTGTTGGTGTTTTGTATATCTCAGTTCCTGTTAATTTCGACGCTTCTTTGTTGATGAAAGACTACAAAAGAATGGAAGAAAAACTCCCAGAGATATTTGACCGCGCTGCCAGTGTCAGAAAGTGAGCTCAGCGGGTTTCCGGCGAGGGAAATTTTCTTCAGTTAATCCGTTAAGCATTGCCTGGATCTGGTTAGTGACGCGTCATCATTATGAAATTTCTGCGCTCGGTCGTCAGCGGAAGTCATTTCGCAAGGAAACTAGTGATGGGATCACGAAAGGTCGGCTGTTTTCTCAGGCTGACGTTCACCATTTCCAGGGTATTCACGGTGTTTATTCTTTGTCGCCACCTTGAATTTTTGCGAGCGAGAAGAAGGAATGGAACTTGGGTCAAATAGAACGCGTTCTTCACAAAATAAACCTTTCAGTCGACGCTTCCGAAATTTTTTGGTTATTGGAAAAAGCCCTTAGAGAAATCTTCATTTTAAGCTAACTATTCCGACACAAGCCAAGGTAAACACATTAAAAACTGTAAAAAGTTGATTGTACTACTTCGCAAGACATAAATTAAACTAGCCTGCGTCGCAGACAGAATCTAAGCTCGGGAAGTAACGTCTGCGAAGCAGTAATAGATTCTCACTGGGAGCCCCCACTCGCAAACGCCCCAAGGTAGAAATGAGTTTTGGGAAGAGGCGAGCCCGGAGACGGGAAGGAGCGGGAGCTAAGGCGCCAGAGTGTGCCATCGCTGCGGGGAGGTGGGTGGGGGGACAAACTAGGTGTCTAGTGTCCGTTTTAACGAAGAGAGCAATAAACAGCATCAATTTATACTAAACTCACAAATATATGCACAACGAGTTCTCCGCGGATCCACAGATGCGCCGGAATTTAAATGCACGGGTCCCAAGGGCACAGGGAGCGCTTGCTCAACGGACTCAAAGAATTACCGGAAGTGCGTTTCGAATTTCCTTTAATCTTGATTGGCTAATGGACAATAACATTTTTAATAGGCCAATCATGGCGCGTACTCAAACCCCTGGTACACAGGTGGTGATCCAGAACAAGGATTTCGGCGCTGTTTCGCTGACGGGCTTAACCAGAGTGAGGTTTCGGGTTGTAGCCGTTAACAGCTGTTTTGCCATTATTGTGACATAGCTAAGTTCAATTGCCCGGCGTATCACATCGAAGGATCGATCGGTTTTTGAACTTTTAAAATAGAACGAAAGGGTTCGGTTAGTTTGATTGAGTTCGTTCATCGAACGAAGTATAACTCACAAAAGGAAAAGAGGAATGGAATCGCCAAACCCAGCTTTCCACTTCGAGACTATATTCATTCAGTTTCTTATCTCTTTCTATACTTCACGAAGTAGACAAAAGACATTGAGGAATCACAGGAACTTTGCCTGCTTGTTTTCCTGTAACAATAACGTTTCTCTTTATTTTATTATTATTGTTTTTTCACTCTATTCCTTACCCCTGTCCCTTTTTTTCCTGTGACACCACAGGCAACCCAAGTGTAATATGAGAGTTTGCGGTAAAAATATTAACACTTAAAATCCTGAATAAATAGAATCAAACGGGTAAAATTACTGAATAAAGTGAAAATGATCTTACTTGGTGTTTTTTTTGTCTTGTTCACTGGTTGTTTATTGGTCGGTAGGATAAAGAATCATAAGAATGCTTTTGGATTTTGTGCACCGTCAAGTCCACAAAAACGTGACAAAGGAGGGGGACAGATCATAAACATTCAACTCTATCAACTATAGATAGGGTCAAAACTTTATTGTTATATTGATTTACTTTAGTCCTGGTTCGCAATTTCAGATTTTTAATTAAAATCGCTATCGTCATTATAAAGGTAGTAACTTATTATTTCACAGAGAATAGAGTTCACAAGAGACACTTGAACATCTGCTTCGCAGGTCTTAAAATAACAGTAAGCCCTCCCAGGTATGCAAAGCTTTGGCGATGTGTCGATGTCAAGTAGTCAACTAAAACCTTTTTGTTTTTGACTTGCAATATTGTCAATACTGGTATCTCATTATAGCAGCGCTGTTTTTTGCCTCCGAGACAGAAATGCAGTCCACATTAGCCTTGGTATATTGTGTTATCATCACAATCGAACGACAGTTATCATTATCGGAAACTCTTTCGCCATTTTCGTTTTCTAGAGTCGGATAAGTTTTCTCAAACGAGCCTACTATCTGTTATTTAACCTCGCTGTGACTGATCTACTTGTTGGTCTAACAGAACTGATGAATACAGCATTGACGACCATTCCACATGGCAGGATTGTAGAAACCATAAACATCTGGGCAAGTCTTTCTGTCCTTTTCTCAAGTGTTTCGTTACTAAGTCTCCTGATTATTTCCCTAGAACGTGCTTTTGCTATTCGCTGGCCTTTTCGTCACAGAGTAGCAAGCAGTTCAATATAATTTTTATATCATCAGTATTATCACAGTCTGGACAATTGGGCTTGGTTTAATGACCTTGTTTTTGTTGGAAACGTATACCAACAAGTTAGGGGCTTTGACTTCAACTCTAATCGTAAGCGGGACAAAATTCATTTCGCTTTGCCTGATCTCAGTGACTTACTTAAAAATCAGAAAACGATTAAGAGATACAAATCCTGCAGTTGCACTCGAAGCGCACAATCGGAAAACAGTCGAACAGAACGTCAGGTTGTCAAGAACCATATTCCTTGTAATCGGATTGTTGTTTGGACTTTGGCTTCCTGTATAGAGTACTAAAGTGATGACGTCATAAAAATGAAATTTCTGAAATTATGGGATTTGTCAGGATATTCTGAAAGAACAATGTCCAAGAGGCCTACTTGCCAAAATCCAAAAAAAATTTAGAAGGGTTTGTATGGAGTTTTGTAAGCATAACTGGGCTACGATCTCAGAGACAATTTGCCCCCAAATGCTCATTTTTGGCAAGTAGGCCTCTTGGACATTGTTCTTTCAGAATATCTTGACAAATCCCATAATTTCAGAAATTTCATTTTTATGACGTCACAGTTTAGTACTCTATTGGTTACGTATTATCATCCTCTTTTACAATGTATGGTCGAATGACATTTATATGCACTCACTTACAGGCAACTCGCTCGTAAATCCCATCGTGTACATCTTTAAAATGCCTATATTTAGAGCAGTGATAAGGAAGTTCATAAGGAAGTGGGTAGTGGCAAAACTCTGCTTCCTTCATCAATGCTCTTCTGCTTTCAGCGACTTCATATTTGATGGGACTGAGGCACCTGTTTTAGCTCTGGAAGTGATATTGATAAGCATTGCCTTATATTATAATAAGTCAGGTTATTCTTCGACAGGTTAAGACTTAGTAAAAACATGGTGTTGCGCAAGTATATGTAAAGAATTTTAAGAGAGTTAGACCAAAAAGGCTAGAGGCTTTCTTTCACAGTATGCTATTTAATGGGCAGCAGTATTTTGTTGACCTTTTTAAGACGTACTCAGTGTCGTGCCTCATAAAAGGCTATAAAAGGTCTACATCGTACACAGGCGGCCCAAACTCATTACATGAACGCGGACGTGACTCTTGCTTGCGAGCGGTGTTGTGTTACAAACGGTTATTTATATCGGTTTTTCTTTAAGAGATAAAAAATGTTATGTTTTTAAATAAAATCGACGTACCTTATTGCCTTGTTGTATTCTTTGTTGTTTGCCCGCGTCTCAGGCCGTTTTGAAGCGTTTTCGGCGAGTTAGCGCTATTTTGGTGTTCCACTGCTAAAAGAAAGACAAGGCAGAACAGTGATTCCCGAAGTGTCCGTCGCTCGAGGCGAATAATTCCACTGGAAAATTACCCCCGGCCTCAATTCCTTCAGAAATTCAAAGCAGAGATGTTGCAGTTCCATGTCCATTGACTCGATTCGCAATTCCTTCCACAGATCGTTCACTAGCGATGCTTTCATCTCTTACTCGATCGGCTTCACGATTTCAAAATAGGCTCGTCCAAACTGCCGTGGACCCGTTCACCGATCGCATAGTATGTCGGGTAACTAAAATAAGCCCAATGAGGGTAGCCAGCGGGGCTGACGGGTTTGTTTGTTTGTCGACTACAGGCCGCTGTCTACCCTCGCCGGGCTTATTTTAGTTACCCGACATACTATTCGATCGGTGAACGGGTCTACGGCAGTTTGGACGAGCCTATTTTGAAATCGTGAAGCCGATCGAGCAAGAGATGAAAGCATCGCTAGTGAACGATCTGTGGAAGGAATTGCGAATCGAGTCAATGGACATGGAACTGCAACATCTCTGCTTTGAATTTCTGAAGGAATTGAGGCCGGGGGTAATTTTCCAGTGGAATTATTCGCCTCGAGCGACGGACACTTCGGGAATCACTGTTCTGCCTTGTCTTTCTTTTAGCAGTGGAACACCAAAATAGCGCTAACTCGCCGAAAACGCTTCAAAACGGCCTGAGATGGGGGCAAACAACAAAAAATACAACAAGGCAATAAGGTACGTCGATTTTATTTAAAAACATAACATTTTTTATCTCTAAAAGAAAAACCGATAGATCCCATACAAGCCTTTGCAAATAACCGTTTGTAACACAACACCGCTCGCAAGCAAGAGTCACGTCCGCGTTCATGTAATGAGTTTGGGCCGCCTGTGCATCGTATTGCAAAAGAGAAACTTTTGTTATTGGAGAATATAAAGGATAAAGATTTCAAAGACCTCTTCGAAACTTTCTTTTGCTAGATAGGGCATAGTTAGAAGAGAAGACTGGTTTTATGAACGACGGCAAACATCAAAGATTAAAAGGACTAAGCTACAGTTTATGTTGGGAGTTCCCAGTGACGGTGCGCAATTCTTTCCCTTTGTTGTTCACAAATTGTGACAGAATAAATTAAGGCAACGTTTTATTGGACAGTGAGATAAAAATAATAGGAATGCCATTGGATTTTGTGCACCTTCAAGTCCACAAAAACTAAAAAAATATAACAAAGGAGTCTGACGGGCGTCATAACGTTACTTCCTGGTTTGCACTTTCAGATTTTTAATTAAAATTACTATCCTTATTGAAAAAGTAGTAACTTATTATTTCACAGATAATATAGTTTACAAAAGAAACTTAAACATTTGCTTTGGAGGTCTAAAAATAATAGTGAAAATTGTACTAGAGCAAAACATCTCCTTCTTTCGCCGCTCTCTCGGTTCGGCCAAGCTTTGGCGTTGTGTCGGTGACACGCAATCGTCCACTGAAACTAGAGGGTCTCAGTTGTTTGGCTACTAGAGGAAATATAAACTTTGAATGTACAATTTATTGAGAAATAAATATAAAAATTACCGAACGGTTTACTGTTTAAACATTCGTACCATACTACGAACTAACTTTTCGTTGAAAACGTATTTTCCAAAAGTGACTAAGATGCAATGGGGTCTATAATTGGCCACAGAATAGACCATAATGGGGTAGGGCTAGTGGTTTTGAGGGAGCTGGGCAAGTAGTTAAAAACAAATCCCATAATTTCAGAAATTTCATTTTTATGACGTCACACTTTAGTACTCTATTGGTTATGTATTATCGTCCTCTTTTACAATGTATGGTCGAATGACATTTATATGCCAGTCATAATTCTACACTCAGGCAACTCGCTCGTAAATTCTATTATGTACATCTTTAAAATGCCTATATTTAGAGCAGTGATAAGGAAGTTCATAAGGAAGTGGGAAGTGGGAAAACTCTTCTTCCTTGATCAAAGCTCTTCTGCTTTCAGCGACTTCATATTTGATTGGACTGAGGTACCTCTTTTAGTTCTGGTGGTGATATTGATAAGCATTGCCTTATATTATAATGAGTCAGGTTATTCTTCGACAGGTTCAGACTCAGTAAGAACATGGTGTTGCGCTAAGTATGTTAAGAGTTTTAAGAGAGTTAGACCAAAAAGGCTAGTGGCTTTCTTTCACAGTATGCTATTTAATGGGCAGCAGTATTTTGTTGACCTTTTTACGACGTACTCAGTGTCGTGCCTCATAAAAGGCTATAAAAGGTCTACATCGTATTGCAAAAGAGAAACTTTTGTTATTGGAGAATATAAAAGATAAAGATTTCAAAGACCTCTTCGAAACTTTTTTTTTTGCTAGATAGGGCATAGTTAGAAGAGAAGACTGGTTTTATGAACGACGGCAAACATCAAAGATTAAAACGACCAAGCTGCAGTTTATGTTGGGAGTTCCCAGTGACGGTGCGCAATTCTTTTCCTTTGTTGTTCACAAATTGTGACAGAATAAATTAAGGCAACATTTTATTGGACAGTGAGATAAAAATAATAGGAATGCCATTGGATTTTGTGCACCTTCAAGTCCACAAAAACTAAAAAAATATAACAAAGGAGTCTGACGGGCTTCATAACGTTACTTCCTGGTTTGCACTTTCAGATTTTTAATTAAAATTAATATCCTTATTGAAAAAGTAGTAACTTATAATTTCACAGATAATATAGTTTACAAAAGAAACTTAAACATCTGCTTTGGAGGTCTAAAAATAATAGTGAAAATTGTACTAGAGCAAAAAATCTCCTTCTTTCGCCGCTCTCCCGGTTCGGCCAAGCTTTGGCGTTGTGTCGGTGACACGCAATCGTCCACTGAAACTAGAGGGTCTCAGTTGTTTGGCTACTAGAGAAAATATAAACTTTGAATGTACAATTTATTGAGAAATAAATATAAAAATTACTGAACGGTTTACTGTTTAAACATTTGTACCATACTACGAACTAACTTTTCGTTGAAAACGTATTTTCCAAAAGTGACTAAGATGCCATGGGGTCTATAATTGGCCACAGAATAGACCATAATGGGGTAGGGGTAGTGGTTTTGAGGGGAGCTGGGCAAGTAGTTAAATCAATGAAAACACACTTTGTTTCATCTTCCACATTTGAGGTTATGGACTCGATAACAGTTATATTTGTCTTGCAGGAGATCGGAGCTTTCAAAGAAATAAATATACATACATGCATACTTTATTGACTATCCTCATGGAGGCTTTTCAAAGGCAATAATTCAATTAATTTCATACAACAAAAAAGATAATAATTTACTACAATAAAAAAAAACCTACTTCGAGGACGCTTATTTATTTACAATAATATTTATCAGAAGTATAATGTATTGATAAATTTAAAAGCTTGTAATTAAAAACTCTAATAAGAATATTCACACTAAAATTTAAATGAAATGATAAAAACTTAAGAATCTATAAAATCCTTGACCAGTTTGCGTTTATAATTGAACTTATAATTAAAGGCAGATACTGATTCAAAAGTTTCAAAATGGCTATCCATGGAGGTCCAGATACTGACTATTCTATAATAAAACGTCCTCTGATGACTGATTAGCTGACTTGAAAAGTGGAATGTTCAGCATCTGCGAACTTCTCGTGGCACGCCAGCTTATTTCTCGTCGCTAAATGAACTGGGAGGAAAGGTACTCCGGCACGCGGGAAGTAAGGCATTTAAAGGCCATGATAGCGTTCCTAAAGTATAACTGAGTTAATATGCAATTCAAAATAAATAATAAAGAAGTAGTAGTTTGAAAATAATCCCCACAGAACTAGATATACAGTAAACCTTTATAACTATGTACGTACTTATTTTTTTTTTGTGTGGGTGGCAGTCAGTTCAGGAGCATAACGTGAAGAAATTTATTTGGATTAATATCTTGATTATTACCTCAGTACGTTTTGTGTAGACAAGGAGGAGAATATAACCCTTAAAATTTCATCAATAATGTATAGTATATAAATATAAAAATCTGTTTCCAGAACGTAATTACTTTTTGCTTGTTAATATTGTGGCACAGAAAATAAACAGTGCACGCATTACGTTTCCAACAGCACATCTTTCAATATAGTTGGTTTGTCTCAGCCTGATCTTTTTTTTCAATTTCCTTTTCAGTGTTTCTGAATTTACAAATTATTTTTTTCTGAACAGATTATAATAACCACCTTTTGATTCCCGACAACCTAAAGATTTAAGTAGATTTTTTTAGCCTTCGAATTCCTCCAAAGTATAATCGTCTTTTTTTTCGTGCTTTTTTTGTCACGGTTGTAATGGTAACGAGAACCTGAGCCTGCAGGCAAGAATATGAAGAAAATTTTCGTGTGTCTTTTTATTACACTTCCAAAGGAGAGAAATCATCTCCGGATGCGACAAAGAAACTTAATAAGTTTTCGAATTGACTGACTGCCTGTTAGGAGGTCCCAATAAATTTTGCGATTTAAGTCAAGCTGTTAATCAATCATGTTCATTTATTTTGGCAGTTGTCTTGCTATTCATGTTCCTGGAAAACTCATTCATTATCAATTGATGATTTGCTTTTTTTCTAAACAGGGTTTTTCAGCAAGGATTTATTGAGTTTGTTTTAACACAGGATATCAGTGAACAATGCAAACAGTAATTATTGAAAACAAATCATTAAAACTCGAAGAGGAGTCGACTTAAAGCCTCGATTTATCGTCCGGCGTTATTTAAATTCAGGTGTGGCGCATTTGAAGGACACACATAAACCCTAAACTGTCTTCCTTCACTTTCTGAAGATGTTAAACACAGAAAGACTGCTTTCGTGGGTTATTATTGTCGAATCTTCACTCGTCTGCATTGGAAATGTCGTTACCGTGTTGGTGTTTTGGAAACAGCGAGTTTTACTAAAGCGGGCGTGCTATCTGTTACTCAATCTCGCTTTTGCCGATTCACTCGTGGGAGCAACAGAACTGATACATGCAGCTATTCACGAAAGAGCGTTTTCTGGGATGGTGTTTTGGAAACAGCGAGTTTTACTAAAGCGGGCGTGCTATCTGTTACTCAATCTCGCTTTTGCCGATTCACTCGTGGGAGCAACAGAACTGATACATGCAGCTATTCACGAAAGAGCGTTTTCTGGGAGTCCTTTAGGGATATTGGGTGCGCTGTTTGCGAGTGTTTCGCTCCTGTCCCTGGTTTTGATTGCTTTGGAGCGAGCTTACGCCGTTCTTTGGCCGTTTCGTCACAGAGTAGCAAGCGCTCGAAACTACATCATCAGTATAGTTTTGGTCTGGATAGGAGCCGTGTGCTTGACAATGATGCCTTTAACATCACTTCATCTCGCTGGCAAAGACGGCAGATTGCCTTCATATTTACTCGCAAACACAGTGATTCTAATTTCACTTTGCCTGATAATAGTGGCATATCTGGCAATAAGGAAACGGTTAAGAAGCACAAATCATACATTCGAAGCCCATTACCGAAAAAGCTTCAAACAGAACGTTAATTTATCTAGAACATTATTTCTTGCCGTCGGTTTGTCCATTGGACTTTGGCTTCCAGCAACCGCTACTTACACTGTCCTAGCCTTTCACGATAAACAGCCGTTTACTGATAACAACGTCCTAATTTTTATGGCTACAATTCTATACCTTGGCAACTCACTTGTTAATCCTATCGTTTACAGCTGTAGAATGCCTATGTTTAAGGCAGCAGTGAAAAAAAGTTTTGAAACATGAAGTCCGCCATTCGAACTCGAACTAGCTGACTTGTCTTTACTCAGCAATTCATGTGGTCTTAAATTCCGATTTACTAGTGTGGAACGCCACGTCCTATCCAATTTCGTGAAAATGTGCCACTCTTGAAAAGTGGCGTCACCCTTCTGATTTGAGGGCTCAAAAAATTTCAGTCATGATACTACTACACGAAAAATTTCTGCTATTTGATTAGCTTAGAGCAGCAGTATTTCAGCTTAATTTGAAATAACTGCATATGAAAATTACAAACCTTTTGTGGGTAGTTGTATAAACAAATAATACCCTGATTTGTACGTGATATTTGGCATAAATACCACTTGTAATATTTCAAAATTGTCTCAAATTTCACTCGTCTACCGGCTCGAGAACTTACGTATAACAATTTTGAATTATCACTCGTGGTATTTATTCCAAATATGCTATTACCTATACAAATTCAAAGAAAAAATCTAACAATTTCGAACGAAACTTGGCCAGGCTTTTGGAGCTCTTTTTGTGTTGGTGTTTAGTATATCTCAGTTCCTGTTAATTTTGACTCTTCTTTGTTGATGAAACGCTACAAAAGAATGGAAGAAAAACTGCAAGAGACATTTGACCGCTCTGCCAGTGTCAGAAAGTGAGCTCAGCGGGTTTGCGGTAGCCTGCGTAGCAAGCGTTTCCGTTTGGTTTCGGAACAAAGAAAGACCGCGGAACGGGATTCTCAGTTTGGCCGCGCGAGAAATGAAACAAGAGCCGAAAAATGAAAGTGGGGGGAGGGGCAGGGGAAGGAAGGAAACGCTTTCAGACAAACCCCTCGATTTTGAAAACCTGCGCCTGATTGGCTCAGTTAGTCGAACAATGTTGACATGTGTCGATCAAAGGTTTGTTTCATACTGAGAGGAAGGTATGGTAGGTTTTCAGTGGTTGTTGTTTATTCTGGTCCGCAAGATTTGCCCTCCAATGCAAGAACATTTTCTTTGACTGGACCTCTTTTGAAACGTAAGGCTCTCCTTGCGACTAAATAAGGGCTTCAGGTCTTTTAATTTAATCTGAATAACTAAAAGTGATTTTCTTTTGTTGTCGAATGCAATGGTTTCCTCCAATGTGTCATGCTGGGCCCAGCTCGTTAGTGTTTTTTTTTTTTCAGGGATGTTGAATAGATGGTGATTTACAGACTGTTCTGTTAGGCGGATTAAAAAGACAAATGTCCAAAGCCTGTGTTATTGGGTTCCCATACGCGTCTTCTGAAGTTCATTTCCGCTCCACTGAAAGCCAAACATTTTATCGGTCAATTATGACAGCTGATGATAGTATCAAATGTCGGTGCGAGAAATCAGGCATGACAGGCCAAGTGGGCGGTTTTCAAAATCCCGGGGTTTGTCTGCAAGCGTTTCCTTCCTTTCTTCCCCAAACCCTCCCCGCTCTTTTACTTGCGCCATTTTTCGCGCGGTATTTGACTCTCGTTCCTCGTTCTTTGCTCCTAAACCGCACGGAAACGCTTGCTACGCATGCTAGGTTTGCGGCGAGGGAAATTTTCTTCAGCCAATCCGTAAAGCACTGTCCGTATCTGGTTAGCGGCGCGTCATCATTATGGAATTTCTGCACTCGGTCGTCAGCGGAAGTCATTTCGCAAGGAAACTAGTGGTGGGGTCGCGAAATGTCGGCTGTTTTCTCAGGCTGACGTTCACCATTTCCAGGGTATTCACGGTGTTTATTCTTTGTCGCCACCTTGAATTTTTGCGAGCGAGAAGAAGGAATGGAACTTGGGTCAAATAGAACGCGTTCTTCACCAAATAAACCTTTCAGTCGACGCTTCCGAAATTTTTTGGTTTTTGGAAAAAGCCCTTAGAGAAATCGTCCCTCTAAGTTAACTATTCCGACACAAGCGAAGGTAAACACGTTGAAAACTGTAAAAAGTTGATTGTACTGCGTTACAAGATATAAACTAGCCTGCGTCGCAGACATAATTACGGACCTTAAGATCCGACGACGGCGACTGCAACGGGAACACCACAAAAGCAATAGGTTTGATAACCAAAACAACAATTTTGCACGTGCATCACGCTTTTTTGTACATTTCTTTCCGTCATTGCACGACTACGACGTGAAAATGCCTAATTTCACGTTGT